TATACAGAAATATTGAACTTTTAAAAAGTGTTTTTACTTATATTAAATATTTTAGAAAAATATTCATTAATTTCTTAAAATTTTGCTTTTAATCTTAATATCATATTTTTAATAATATTAGTTGTAGAAATTAGTATTTTTTTTTTTACTTTAATAAGCAATTAATTGATGAAGTTTTAAAAAATATAATAGAAATAACACACAACGTTACTATAAATCGCAGAATGTCAATGATTTTGAAAGATAGTGAGTTTTTGAAGATGTCACTGTATCAGACTATCAAAAATACGTTTAAGGCTTTTATAATTTTAATTGAAACAAAGAAAACTAAAATGTTTTTTCAGTTTTTCAACCCAGCAAGTTTGCCAAACAAAGTGAACATAAAGATTTTCCCAAATATTTATTGAGTACAAATTATCATTTAGAAGATAAATTAAAAAAACGTTAAATTTTCAGAAATTCTTCCAAATGGGTTACAGGTACAATCTTCTATTTAAAAATTATTAAGTGCTCGATTAAAACATGGACAACCGAGTGGTGTCATATTATCAATAATTGATAATTATTATCAGTTCATCAGGTTTCGGAAACACTGATACCCGATTGCGCAATGCATCTATAAATAATTATTGAGAAGTTAAAAATAGTACTTACTCGTATCCGTCCCATCATATACATAGACTTAAAAGAACACATAACATGGTTACGAATATTTAACATCATGTTTGAGGTTTATCACCACTATAATAAATAAAAGTGATAACATACTATCGGCTAAACCATTATAATCTCTATGATGTCTTTTAATTTTTCTACTCTATCAAATATACTATGTCAACTTAATTTGATATTATATTTTGATTTATTTGTAAGTTAAGCGAGGCGCTATTTTCATTAAGTTAACGTATGCGCCTCAATTCCTTTGCTTCATGTCATTGTAGATTTAATAAATGTATTGGAGTTAAAGTCACCGGAAAAAAAAACCACGAGGGTGACCAAGAAAAATATGTAGTTTAAAGCGTAGTGGAAGAAGACCATGACAGAAGGGGAGTTAAAAAATGAAGAGAATTAGCCCAGAAGTAAGAAAAACGGAGGAGTTTAATGATGGTGGCGAAGTCTTAGAGTATTGATTGCTAGATGAAAAAGAATAAATTGTTTCCAATTTCTAGTTTTATTTATGTATAATTATGTTGATGGAACGCGCAATCAAAATCGTATATACGGTGACGATTGTTTAGGATTTCTGTTAAATTCCGAACGAACGTAAAAATAATAAACTATACACACACACACACACACACACACACACACACACACACATATATATATATATATATATTATTATGTATATAAATATACATATATATTATATACACACACGCAGTGGCGCACACAGTATTTTTTTTCGAGGGGAGGGTCAAGGTAAAAATATAACACATTTTACAATTAACAAAATTATGCAAATCCTTAATATATTTTGATTTAAATAATAGCATTGAAAATAGAATAGACTATTCTATAATCAATGATACTAGGTATTCAATACTATTCATATTTTAAACTTGTAAAATTTGTAAATTTTAACCTAAACATCGGAGAAAATGTCGGGGGGGGGGGGGGTTACAACCCCTTAACCCCCCCTGTGTTCGCCACTGCACACACGTATTGTTTAATATACTTGCGACCTCCACCCTACATTATATTTATTATAACTGCGTGTTGTTCGGGATGAAATGCGGCCAATTTATATATCTACTTTGGAAACGTGAGACGTGCAAATCGTTGATAAATGATCGTTGTTGCAGCGTGTCGCGCGTTTCCCAGCGTATAATAGGATTTCTGGAATTATCGCGCATATATACTATTACGGATGGGAACGACCGAAAGAATGAAAAAGAAAAAAACCAAACCGAGAAAAAAAGAAACGTTTGAAAAATAAATACGAGCAAACACACATACACGCGTATGTATATATATATACTATATTATACTATAGGGTGTTGTTGCGCTTAATCCCGGTTGTTAATGATAGTCAACATCGCACACTCTCGCGGCGCAGCGCGTACACGCGTACAATATAATATGTACGCGGCAGCACACGACAACAAAAGCCTTTCAAAATACAGTCATTTATTGTTCAAGACGCTCTCAGCAGCTCTCGTCGTCCATTAATTTCTCAACTGGATCTTGACGATATAACATGTCTTTCTTATATGTATATATATATTACATATACGCGTATAGAACAATAAAGGACCCGCGCGGCATCTTCCTGTGTTTATGTATTATATTATACACGTACGTACTCATAAGCCACACGGAGACCCATCCCTTCGTTAAATTATGATATATATATATATATATACGTGCGTAAGCCATAGTAACGTATTTAGACCATATTCGTTGCCCCCGAGAGAGCAAACATTTTATAAGTCTATCTGCGTGACTTGCACCCGTTTGATAACATTTGCTGAAATAGTTTTTTCTTTTTTACGAACGAACAGCGACGAAAATATAAAACGTGTCATCACAACCGAACATTGTCTTCATCATGATTATTGCATCCGATTTTTCTTGTAAATATTTGTGTTCATACTCCATAGGTTTACTAAATGGTTAGTTTCATTTTTTTATCATGTATTATCTATTTTTCAAGACGGTTAATACAAAAAAAAGCATATTTCTTTGCACTATCACCATATCTATAATAGATTTATAGATCTTAAATATGATTTTGTGCGCGTTTGAGTAAAAAAAATACTCTAAGACGCACTATTAGTGTTGATGCCTTTGCAGTTTCTCCTAAATGCGTGAATGTGCCATGTTGCCAGTATACATGCAGTTATTTTACTCTTCGTATACGTTCTAGATCATTTTGGATCTTGGATTAGATGCGTTTAAAACAGCAAATTACGATCACGGTATTAAAATTAGATTGGGGTTGTAAACATCGAATGCACCCAATAGCGGATTTTTCAAATTTTTAATCGTACCTCGTTCCTAACAAACACGATTTATTACTATCACTGAAAACGTATCTGTTTACGTCAGTATATTCGTATACACTGCGTAAACCAATATTTAGTGACGTGAATCGGTTCCCAGGAGTACAATGTAGGGTTGTTGTTTGTTTAATCATAATAATAAAAATAATATAAATATATATATATATATTCGTATTAAACTTACGACGCGGGTATTAGATTAAATAAAAAATAAACCATAAATCGATAATTGACTTTAACGTCTCGGGATTGTGTAACTCTTGTCGATTCGATTGTTTAATGTTGCAATTGATTTTACACGTCGGACCGCTACGTAGTAGTACTACCCGGTCGGCGGGCGCGGGTAACGTGCGCGCAAAGACAAATTGCCGGCGATTAGCGATTGTTGTGAGAGTGTAAGAAATTACAAATTAGGTCACGCAATCACCGGGGGTTTTTGTACCAGGTATATATTATGTGTACGCTGGCGGTAATCGGCTCTTTTGTACGGACAATTTAAATATTTTCTATGGTCTCCCGTGAGCGTTTCTGCAGCGGACGCGAACGACAAAAACGCGGATAGTTGTCAAGAGAGTTAATAAATATATGTCTATTTATATTGCATTCAATACTGGTGATTATGGTCCATTACATGTACGTACTGGCACTTTTCGTCGGGCGAGAAACTGCAAAAGGAAACACTATTAATCTGCTTGACCATTTATCGTAACGTTTAAAAATACATTGTTGCACGACAATTGGATAACGTCGGATCGACACAACACGTTACAGAAAATAATAGTATTCACGATTAGTCAACTATACAAGTAATTCTTGATAATATTCGACATATACGCAAAATCGGAGTTATCATTTGTAGTAGTTATTTCAGACTTTCTATCCCAGGGGGCTATAGTAAAATTTCGAGGTGGTATGTGGTATTCCATAAAAGTAAATAATTTATAAATTAAATATTTTTTTCAAGAGATATATATTTTTCTTTGAGGGGTATATAAGGGTAATACTCCCCTCAGTCACTCCCCTGAAATAAACATTGATCATATCCTTATAGTTAAGTGTTCAACTCGTCTTTGCCGTGGTTTAGGTATAGTTCTCGGTATAGTGGCACAATTAGTGCCGAATTAAAGGCCGATGCCGCCTTGGAGCAAATAATGTTTGCCTTCCCCCCCCCCAAATAAGGTGTTGTAATGAGACAAAAAAAAAAAATAAAAATATTCTTGGTTTCTATGTATAAATTAAAAAATAAAATACTATTATAAAATATACCTAATATATGTAATAGGTAATTAATCTGCTTACACTAAAAATTATAACTATATGTTCAATGTCACAGAATAGTTTTTTCAAAGATTTTTTTTAAATTAATGGAAAACAGTCTCAAAGTACAATTATAATATTAATAAATTGGTTCAAAAATATCCAGATAAAAATTAAAGTAATTTTTAATATTAACGTCAATTAAAAAAAATACTAATACTATTTTTTTTTTAAATGTATTTTTATATGGATTTAATGATTGCAAATGTTTGTATTAGTTCTTCTAACTTCATTTTCTCAGCCAAATTAGATTCTATGCATAAAATTGATACATTTGACATTATTTTTTCTTGTATTCATAACGATCTTAAATAGTTTTTAATAATTTTTAACTGAAAACGATATATTTCCAATTAGCATTTGAAGAAGGTAAAATGTAAATAATTCTTAAAATGATTTTGATATTAGAAAACGTCAGATTCAAAAGTTGTAGATTTTATGGAACATCCTACATTTTTTTTTTCTAATCATAATTGAAAAACTTGCTTAAATAGTTATTGTACATAATATTTATTTTTTTGGGACGATTTTATTTATGCCACCCCACTAAATTTGTCGCCCTGAATCAAATGCTCATTTTGCTCCTAGGTTAACCCGGCCCTAGGCATGATCCTAGATAACTGTATATTACGTGAAGTTGATTTAAGATATAAATTAAATGATCTTGTTGTTTTGCAGAAACCAAAGGAAAATACCCAAGTCCGATAGCGGTCCATTGTTTAAAAAACGGAAATCGGACAAAATCGGATCGACTTCGGAGTTCGACAGTGGAATGAAGGCCAAGAAAAGGAAAATGAATTAATAGATTTCATTCGTACATGTAATGTTATTATCGAATCGCCAATTTTGTAAACGACAATGTATTGTTATAATGAAAATAAAATACATTTTTTTATTTATTTGGATAGCCGGTTTTTCATTACTGGTTATGTATTTCTCTCGTTCACATTATTATTGTATTTAGTCCCGCACGGTCAATTCCAGGAGTCAGTTGTAATTTTTTCTAGATTTTTTTTTCTTCCCAAACTTAAACGCTGCAGTGCGCTTGCTGAGGAAAGTTCTATGTGTGGCGTCTACATTTTCGTGTTGGGTTTACTTCATGTATAATCATTATTATTCCTCTCTTCCTTAAATCGTACGCCCTTGGATATATATTGGACGGATATAATTTAATGTAAAGTTAAACAGTCTAATTCAAAGTGTACATGGGTCGGAAAAGGTCGCGGAAATTTAACACTGCGATTTTTATTTTAATCTCGCTGCCGGGTGTAACAGATAATAATGACGGATATTATAATTTTTTTTATCCAAGAGATTTTAGTAAGAACAATTATAGCTCAACAATTACTGAATTAATACTATTATTCGTACAATTCAAAATATATTTTCCTATCTGTTCTTAATGTCATTTTACATATTACTTTTGTAAATTATAAAGAAAATTCATCGTTTTTTTATCCTACCAACCGAACATTTTGGCGGGCCTTTCTTGATTTTTCTGAATAGTTGATTGGCGTGTCGGTTGGTACCAAATTGGTTCTCGAGCTCCAAACCCACATGCCAAATTGGTTCCCGTCTGAAAAAGGTATTTTATTAGGTATAGCAGAATTGGTTCCCCTTTGAAAAATGTATTTTATTAGGTATAGCCGAATTGGTTGCCGTTTAATTACGCACATTTTCCTTCTAAATTTTACAGGCTTGGGACTGTCAACTTTAAAGTAAGTTTGGTTAAAAATGTGTGTTAATATATGTTAAAAAAAAATGATAAAATATTTACAATTTTAAATCGTTGATTTGAAAGTCAACTTGTTGTAATCACTTTAAATACAAATAGTAAAATATAATAAATACAATTTAAAACAATTGATTTGTAAATTTGAAGCTAACCTTTTTTCAATATTCAATTCTTGTAATCTTCTTAGTAATGTAGTCAGTCATACAATTTTTTCAAATCCAGTAATATATTGTGTATTATATTTTAATATACAGTTAAATACAGTTAGTCATTACTACAAAAAATAATCGAAATGACAAAAAAAAATTATAATAATGACAATAATTAAATTTGAAGATTAAAAATAAAAATATATACCTAATAATAATATGTATAATATAATATAAAATAATGTACAATCTAACAATTATAATGTGGATATATATAATTAACATATAACAATGTGATGTATAAAACAAAAATTTTTAACCACACGAATGATTACTAAATAGTAATAAATGTAACTAAATAAAATAAATCTAACCCCTTCAAATGCATGATAATTTTATTGAAATATTTTTTTGAGCCCAAGTGCAGTTCGACCACTACCTGCTTTTTACCGGAGTGTGATCGAATATTACCTTTTTTAAACCCAAGTGCAATTCGACTAAAATAAATACAATTCGACCATACCCAATTCGATTACTTCGCCGTATCGGGCCTGAAAAAATCTAAAAGCCACATGATTTATGGTCTTCAAGAGAGTTAAAAAAACCTTATTTTTTCTCTTTTTTTTTAAAAAAAAAAGTTTAACTAATCTCTATTGTTGTTCAAAAAGCTTTTGTAATTTTTTCTAATAACATAGTATGTAAAGTGTCGTTCATGCCCTCCAAAATTAAAATTGAAATATTTGAACAATAACAATAATGGTCAGGGCTGTTTTCACGCCATGGAAAAGATACGAAATGAGAGGCATTAGACGTTCCTGGTGTTTCAGTACTTCCCGGTTCGTTTTAGAGTTAGATGATACACACGTGGTGTTATGGACTCGGATGCGTAACATCAAGATATTTTCACGGACACGGTGATTTCATAAAATAACGGCCGTAGGCGTATCATATATTTTACATGAACGAAATACACTATGTCGAGCGAAATAATGCGCTCGATCGCCCGCAGCCGATTGGTCGAAAACAATAATGTTTATCAATCGTAATGTGCACGTGGTGTTATGTGTATGTGCACATCATTATAATTGTAACGTAGTGTTAGTGATGGGAAAAATCAGGATTTTCCAAAGTCCGGGTTCATGGGATTCTAAATTCGAATTTCGGATTTCAAAAATTGAATCGTTATTTTTTTATGTATGACTTAAAGTAACATCTTGATTGCTACACATATTTTGTAATAATTTGATTTTTTAATTAAAATACTTAAAGAAAATCCACAACGTCAAAATCAAAATTCGCATTTTGAAATTTGGCAATCTGAAAATTTATATTTTTGGAGAATCTGGATCGTGTATTAACATACCATACATTGCTAAACGACCAGTCGTTTCTGATTGGCTCATTTTAAATAGCACGGTTAAAAGGTTAAAATAATACAATAAATTGGTATGTTAATATGCATTCGGATCTAATTCTCATCACTACGTGGTATACGTGCATGGATGAGCACACTTTGTTACATGTAAGGAAGTTGATGATTTTTTCACACGCGCATCGTCATCATTACATATACTCAGTGCTCTATTTGTGGGTGGGAATGCAGGGAAACTGAGTGCCCCACGTAAGTACCCTTAAGGTTTTTTTTGAAAAAGGACGAGTGAGATGGTACTTTATTTCGATGTATCTGCATCGGCTTCGGTTTGTTCACTTCGGCTCTCTCTTTTCACTTGAAGGTGACCGTATCGGCTTCCAATTGACAAAATTTTTCTTCCCATTTACAGGCTGATGACTGAAGAAAATTCTTCTCTGTAGACATGGTTAAAAATATTGTTGATGTGTAAAAAAAATAAGTAAAATAACTCTAGAAAAATTTAACTGCATGAATACTATAAAAATTGTGGTTTGAATATAAACATTTTATATATACTTCACTCTGGTAAATTGTCTTTGTTGAAATTGATCAATACATTTCTGAATGACGATACAAATGATTCGCTGTTTTTTAATTTTTTCCCAGTATTTTTGCTACGGATCGTTATATACTTGTCAGCCTGAATCTGCTTTAAAATGTTCATGAAATTGAAAATGTTAGGATAAGCAGCCGTGAACTCAGCATTACATTTTGCGTGTAAAGATTCGCAACAGTTCGTGATGCGATCACCTAAACTCGACATATCAGTCCACATGTCCGAAAGGAGGCGTGAGTGATCTAAGTAATTGGCACAAATATAGTAAAAAAATGCAGTGAGTTTCAGTAAGAATCAAAAATTGTTATCGTAATGGGACGCAATACAGTCACTTAAAGGTTACACAACCGGAGCCGATATATTGTCAATATATTGTCTCGTGGAAATCGATATGGTATCATTCCCCTATTGAAGTTTAGTTTTTACAAAATTAAAAAAATTAAATTTTTTTTTTTTTTAAATCTAAACATGTAAGCATACGCCTAAGTATTAATTTCTGATACAGCGGTACACCATAAATGAAAATAATCAAGCATCAACATCAATAACTTTTGTTATGACAATTATTGCCACTACATTTTTTTGTTATTTGAATTTAAGACATAATTTAGCCCCTTCAGACAAAAAACATATACACTGTATTTATGTAATGAGGTGATGTTTCGAACTTTGAAAGTGAATATAATGAGTAATTGGTCGTTGGTTTGTGGTAACATGTTTCTTAAAGGGAAGACGAATACGGTTATTTTCGGTTTTTAATTAGGTTGGGGCTCAAAATTTGTACGTGACATCTGAGTACTTTTGCTATTTTTCCCAAGTCGAGCGCTGCATGTACCCGCTATAATTGTTTTTAGGGCGCATCAAAGGGATGGATCGATCGCGATGGTCCGACGACAACGTTAAACATTACACATATTTAATTGCCGTACGCGCACCTGCATATGTAGGTACCTACACATATTCGTATGGCCCGAGGCTCAAGGTTAAATCAATGACCTCACATGCACGCATGTGTCTCACATCCTCGCCAAGGATATTAACAATAATAATAATCGAAATTTCTGATAGCTTTAAGGTAGTACCTTTGTATATACGTATAGTAGTCGTCGGGATCGGTACTTTGTTAAGCGTTTTCCATTAATGGCTATACATCGCGATACAGGTGTATTGCGGCGACGACGACGGACCATTGGGAGTCTATCCATCGTTGTACACATGCATATACATACATATATATATATATACATGCACGTTCACATAACACAAGACGACACAACGTGATGAATTTTAATTGTAATGCGCCACTACAATGGGAACGCTGCCGCCGCCGGTAGCGTTGTTTTGTCCGATTCAATCGTATGCGACAGCACACCCGCGCGAGGTGCATACATGCATACACGGTACTGCAGCGGGATCTTTATTTCTAAGATCGACTTTATTGTTTACCGTGACACGCGCGATTAGCAAAACGACTGTTTTACTGCGGTGGGACCGCGCGGGAAAATTACAAAAAAAAAATCACCTAACCATCATCTTAATTTGTTAAACGCAGACTTGGGCAGTATTCTAATTACTGTACTCAAAATTATTTTCAAGTATTCTGAATACTTTTGAAATACATTTTTTTTTTTTTAAGTATTTTATATACTTTTTACGAGTATCGTGAATACAGTGTTCCGAGAATACTTATTTAATGCTTTAATCGTCTATTTTGAATAATTACTAATTTCAATAGTTCTCATCGGTATAAATTATATTTGTACTTGTTTATATGTACAGAAGATTTACTGCATCTTGCACTTAAATTATAATGTTTTGTTTTTTTTAATATTTTTTTGTGGGACAGTATAACTATTTTTCCAATTTTGTAGCAACGGAGAACTATTATGTACAAAAATATACATCTCGGGAAAAATAGATATCTAGGTTAAAAGTGACGATTAAAGGTGATGGGATAAAAGTATCAGAATTTAAACGTGCCAAAAAAACCCAAGGTAAATCAGATTCTTAGTGCGAATCTTTTGCTGTTCAATCGGTATTTAATTGTT